GCACCATGCAGAACGCTGACATGTAATAGTGAAGTGATTTTCAAACAAGGATATAGAATTAATCTATCTAACAAGATAACATTTTAAACTTGCACATATGTGCTGGATAGCTAAGTACTAGGCTTTTTAGTTGAGGGTGGTTTTAGGCACATGACACTGATATGAAACTTCTCTACCATTGAGTAGTCTGATCTTTCTTCTGTATTTGTGAGTGCCACATAACTTTATGATTGTTTCTAATCTCAGTGCATAAATAGAACCAGATTCACACAAGGTAATGGAAGTGGAAAAGGATATCCATCAAGATGTGTTAGTTTCTAGTATTGACAAGAGGCCTCCAGAGATTGACACCACTAGGTTCCATCAAACTAAAAGCTGAAAATGCAGACAGTGGGAGATGAATCACAATAATTGACGACCTCACTTGGTCAAACCCGAGACAATTACTCATGGCATATATCAGCAAAATGTAATGCTTAGTGGGTATTTTATCTTGGAACTATATTTTGGAATCTTTGAGGTAAATGCACATTAAAAGAGTCACTTTTTAAAGATTGATTGCAAATTTGTTTAATCTTACCTGCCGACTTGCATCCAGTGCTCCTGACTGCAGAGCCCAGGCTGAGATAGTGTTAAATGCTTTTACCACATGGGCTCCTGGCACCAACTGGGCAAGGTACTCTGAATTAGATTCTGGATACTGATTGATTTTGAGGTTGTTGCTGACATCTACCAATATTTTCCCATTGAGAACCTCAATTAATTCGGTGAGGAAATCATAATGCTCTCTGTGGATTGCCATGATTATGATGTCAGACTTCTTGGCTGCTTCTGGATAGCTCAAGATCTCTGCACCATTGGGCAGCAGGCTGGACATCTGGGGGTTTCGACTTCCGAAAACAACAGAATAACCACACTGGAGCATTTTAAATCCCAGTGATCTTCCAAAATCCCCAGTTCCAAAAATACACACAGTCTCTTGCTTTTCTGAAGAATTCATAACAAGAGGAAGTTCATCCGTACAAGTTTTCTCCATAGCTGAAAAATAATAACACAAATACCCAATAATATGTAAATGCTCTGTGCCTGGAAAATTAATGCAGAATTATATGCA